GGTTCAAACGGAAAAATTGAATCAAGAGGAATTTGCAGTTTATCTGCGTCTTCACTTAAAAGTAATCCTGGCCTCACCACTATGCGTGTTACCGTGCACAATGCATCCTATCCTGCCCCCTAATTGCCCAATGAGCCTAGGTGGCCTAGTATAATGTTATTGTTATCCATTCTAATACTGTTCCAGCCTAAATACAATTAATTTCGGAATTCTGATGAAATTCGGTGCATTAGTACTAATATCACTAAAGAAAATGTTATTGTTACAGTATAATCAAAAATTTCAGAGGAAAATGTCATCTAGCATTTATAATCAAGGGACTAAACATCCTAGGCTTGCTAGGACCAAAGTCATAATCTGTTAAGAACTTAGTCATGGATTGCTATATTATTGCAGCACTTCATTTGAAATGAGTCATGTCAAAATTCAATTTTAATTTTCAACATAATGCACAATAGTTTCTTGGATATATTTCTTCCGTTGACTTCACCTGCCTTTTATGGCACCATAAAAGCAAGAGCAACACCATTGTTTCAGCTTTAACATAGTGAGAGCAGATATGTTGATGTAACATTTTTGTGCTTCCTAACAATACCCTCGCTAAACAATTGTAGGTTAATTGTACCTTTTAATTTTCCATAACTTCCTATCCTCAATTTATATCCATATTGTAGAGTAGAGGGAATTCGAACCGTGGCTTTGGACCATCCTGACATTGTTTGCTAACTCCATTTTCCGGGACCATGTGACGTCAAGTCCAATTTACCATGCCCAGATCTTTGTAAATCGAAAACTCCAAAAGATTGGAGCTATATTTCTGCCTATTGTCCGGGAAATTCTACCGAGTCCAATTGTCATTGTGATTATGTATGTTAGAAGAAGTCGATGCTAACACATCTTGAAACTCTACATTTTTCATTGATAAAGACTAATAAATTTTCTTGATTTTAAGCTTTGTTGCAATGCCACAAAAAAAAGGAAACCTTTGTTGCAATTTTTATAGTTGGACATGCAACACACCAGTTGAGTTTATGATTTTAAAACCAAAAGGGGTAATTCCTGTCAAGTGCCAGGTAGGGATATTAAGGCCCTGTTAGGCAAGTGAGTTTTTTGAGTGTTTGTCTAAAACTTTATTGCAACTTATTGTAGAAGTTTTTTAAAAAATTTTTGAAGTGTGTTTTTTTTAATATTTTGAAGTGTATAGTTTAAAAACTTTAAGAAGTTTTTTGAGATTACTGTAATTAAAGTTTTTAAAAGACTTGTAGCAAACAAACTTGACAAAAAACTTGTCTGGCAAACAAGGCCTAATTATTAACCCTTCCAAGACTTTAAAAATTATATTTCCTGCATTCTAAAAGTGAAAAGTTCCTAGACAAGTCTTTAAGAAAATTACATTAAAAAAATTACATTATATTCTCAGGGTGAGATGGATTGGGTGGTATTGGGGTAGGGAATAAGCGAGAGATTCCAAATTCAAACCCTCTTATTTACGCTAAAAGAAAAAAATTACATAATATTCCCTTCGCTTCCCTGCTCTCCCACCCTGGCCCCAAGAAGATTTTTTGTAAAAGTAGAGGTAAGCCCCTTTTATCGATTTGTTAAACTAATATTTGCCCTCAGTCCACCGCTGCATCTTAGTGTTCTGCATTCATATTTGATTGACAGCGAACATTTTGATAGATGAACATACCAAATGCAAATGATCACGCAACATTTAAAAAGAAAACCGAGAAACCAGTTACATAGCAGTCTACCAAGAAGAGGTATAATAGCTCTTGTGAAAATTCCTCTAAAGGAAAAATTTTTAGAATCTGCAAATACAAAGAATCTCATATATAAAATCCAATAATTGTGTTCAACAAAAAAAATTCGGAATTGAATTTTATACAAACTTGTATGCACATTCTTTACAGGGATGACATCGATTGTGATGATTTTGTTAGCTTGATTTAAAATCTTATATAGAACCTATGCATAGACCAAGCCAAAAGGAGCGTATCATTATACTGCTAATGTCTGATTTTCAATAAATATTAAGCCAGCTGACACAAATTTTTATTTTGGGATAGAGTTTAGGTGAATTCGACACCAATCGCTACTGCGGTCAGACTATATCCTTCGAATCATAATTTATAAGTTGCTTAGCATGTTTTTACATATCATCAACCAATATAATCCTGATAAAGGTTTTACACACGTGTGTCGTGATTCTTGTTAAGGATATTAGTGCTTGGTTTGGGTTGATATTTCCGGGCTCAACTTCATAAGATATAATTTGTTTGGATACAAACTCTAATAGGGCTAGAGGTAAAACCCACACCGGAGCCTAAATGGATTTGGGCGTGGGGATCTATTCGTCATTAGACCATCTTAGATCCACACCAAAATTAATTTGTTTAGATTCAAACCCGGGTCCAAAGGTGTACAAGGGACCTAACGGGTACGGACCCATGAATATCCATAATTTCACACAAATCTTGTGACTTTGGGTCATTGACCTATTTTATTTACCATGATTAGTGTTCTACAAAAAGTCGTCTGAGAACAAATTTAAATTTTAATAGTTTTGAAACTTCCTTGGGGAAAAGTATATTCTGATTAACAAAATATATGGTGAAAGAATGACAAAGATTCTTCCAAAAATAAATGTGTTAACATGAATGTATGTAGTAACTATAATACAAAACATGCCTATGCGCATATACATATGTGTATGTATGCACTATTATGTATACAGCATTCTATGTGGTATTATCTAGTGTTTTGAAAACCGGACCGGGCCGGCCGGTTCGACCGATTGGACCACGAACCGGCCATGGCTCCGGTCCGGTTCTATGCTATAGTTGACCAGGTTAGAAAACCGGTCAAAAACCGGTTAAACCGTGGAAACCGCCGGACCAGATTGAACCGGCGGTTTCCGGTTTTCAAGATTTCTCTTTTTTTTTTATTTTTTTTTACGTTTTACAAAATGCAGCTATCAAGATTCGAACTCAAAACCTTTGTGATAAAAGACCAATGTAGTAACCATTGCACCATCACATCTTATTAGTGTTTTTTTGATAACTTATTTATATAAAACAAAAACTCATATTTCTTTTTTTCATTTTTTTTACAAAATCTAATCATCTTATGGCTCTTTCTTTTTAATCTTCAACACACACACACACACACACTCTCTCTCTCTCCTCTTTTTTTTGTCACTCTCTTTTTAATCAAACCACTTTATTTTTAATTTATTGACGTTTTCTTCCATCTTTTAATTTTCTTTTTGTCCATTAAATTGAAAAAGATTAAAAAAGAATTATTTTTCTTTAACCCAAATTATTTAATGCCACAACCACTCACTTTTATCTCATTTTTTATTTCTTATTAAGTTTGCATTTCTATTTTCGATTCTCTTGACTTCTTTCGAACTCCAAAATTCCTTTTTAAATTGCAATCTCTAAATCCCAAAACGTAAATTAAAATTTAAGTTCACAAAATCTAAATTCTCATAGACATGAATTTTGTATAATTTTAAAATATTATGATATTTTTGGGTTAGATCTAAGATTTTTTTGGTAGATATAATTGAAATTGAAATGAAATTTATTTGTTTTAACTTATAATTTAAAATTTTTATTTTTAAAAAATCAAGTTATTCAAAAATAGTAAACTTTTCATCATATAATGTATTAAATTAGTCCATTACATGTCTTATTTTATGCATAAATATTTATATAAATTTTTTTTTTAAAATTCATTGAACCGAGGTTGAACCGGTCCGACCGGTTGAACCTCGACCCTTTCACGTTACCGGTTCAATTAACGGTCCGATTTGTAAAACATTGGTATTATCTAAATACATATAAATGGGTGAAAATTTATATATGTGCTATTATCTTAATACTATTTTGTGTTATTATCTATGCATTATAGGCTGAGTTTGGGCTGGGTTTAGATGGTAAAAATTTAGATCCCAACCAAACACATATGTTGTCACCCTTAATTTGAGAAATACTTCATGGGCCATACCTTTTGATTTCCAACTAAAACATTTCCATTTTTCGCATTTTATACCAAATGTAATTAGTATTGTGAGAACCCTGAAAATAGACATATAATTATCAGGGCATATTTTATTTTATTTGCATTTTAATTCTTTAATAAATTTTAGCACTAAGTCCAATTGTTTTTAAATAAGTACGTAGAAATAAAACGTTATGTGCAAAATAAAAGAATTGTGCTAGACTACTAAATTTCTTAGTTTTGTTACATTAACTTCATATTTCGATGGTAAACTATTTCATTGATCTAACAATTAATTTCCTTGAATTCTAGTATTGTAATTAATTGTTTCGAAATGAAAGCGTAAAGATAAGTTCTATGTAATAAATAATATAATTGTGCCAATATTGAATTACTCGGTTTTGCTATACTAAATTAATATTTCTTGAGTTAGATTAATTCTATTACTTTAAAATAAATTCTTTGATTTCCGATAACTAGTTTTAATCGTTAATAATGTTAAATGTTAATAGGAATTTCCGCGTTAAGATGAAAACCAATGAATTTTAGATAAATATGATTCTAATATACTAAACATACTTAATGCGTGAAAATTTGATACATACATCCTTATCTTTCTTTGTTTTCGCAATAAGTGCGTAAAAATACTTTTATGTGCAAATTGACACCCTTGGATTAAATTATTATTTCACTTGACTTTACATTACTAAATCGATAAATTTCGAGTTAGACTAACTCTAATTCTTGAGAAATAATAATTGGAAAATTCTAATAACTAATTTAATCGCTAAATAATATAAGAATTATTAGGAACCTTAATACTCAAGTTTAATCGATAATTATTCGATAAAAATGGTTTAGGTATATTAGGGTATAATTAGGCGTTTAAATCACGCTTGGGGATAATTTTTGGAATTAAGTTAGGAGTGAGAAATTAAGTTGAGGTGAGGGAGCAAAGTGAAAAGACTAAAATGCCCTTACATTTCCATGCAAACCAAACAAACCCTCTGATAGCAAATTCAATCACCGCAACTACCGGCCAATCACATTTTTTTTGCTAAATCGATACGCAATCGATTCCTACACGCAATCTCTGATCCAAAACAGCGGCACCCTATACCATACTCTCCAATTCATAACACAAACCGCAAACCATTTCCTTTCCATTTCATATCACAAAACCGCGATACCATCCCACTCCATCTTCATTCCTATATCACAAAACACCTTCGCACTCCACCCTCTTGCACACCCAACCCCCTTAACCGCGCCTATTGCTTCACTTCAACCTCACACAACCAGTTCCATTTCCTCACACCGTGAGCATTGACCAAGAGTTAGAGAGGGAGGGCTTCACCTCGTGATCATCGACGAGAGAGAGAGAGTGAACTGCACCTTGCAGCCAAGAGGAAAGAAAGAAAAATCGCGAGCTGAATCTTCTCTGGTCTGTCCGTGAGCTTGAGGGAAGAAAGGAGAGAGCAAGTGGAAGTCGTGGGAGCTACTGATCGTCACCACCTTCATCAGTCCCAGCTGCAACTATTGCAACCAGAACCAGCACTTCAAGCCTTGCGCGCGTGCCGAGTGGAAGAAAAAAATTCAGCTCTGTCGTGTGAGTGAGTTGCACTGTGAGGTAAATTCTGGACCATTTTAGGTTGATCAAGAGGTAGATTGAGCCATCGAGGGGCATGCATGTATTGTTTGTGCAATCGGATGATGAAATCAAAACACTAGAAAAATCTGTTTTGAAAAGAAAATGGGTTGCCGAGACTGATTAAGAATGCCGTGCTTAATTTGTGTAATTTCGACAATCTGAGCTTGAAATTGTGTTTAGTTAATTAAAACTCGGATGGTTAAGCTGATTAGGGCCTTGCATGATAATTTTATGAAGTTGGATGATGAATTAAGGAGCTTAGGAAAATTCTGTTTTGATGAAAAATTTCTGCCGAGAGCTAAGCTGGAAATTTGTAGCTTTAATCTGCTAATTCGATGCAATTTGAGTTTAGATATACGTTTAGCTAATTATAAATGGGATGATTATACCTTGCATGATGTTAATTAGTGGTGATCAAACAAGAAAATTAGAGAGATACAAAATCTGTTGCATGCAAGCTCATCCGAGAATAGTTGTAGGAATTTCTGGAATTGGGGATAGTTATAGCTGCTGACCGAACTTGTTCTGAACTGGATATGATAAGTAACTTCATTAGGTAGCCTCGCATGTCAATTTTGGGGGCCTAATATAATGATCCAGCCAGGGAAAAGTTTACATTTTATGACCATTAGCTGCTGGCATTTTTTTTTGTGATAGCCGAGAGCTTGACTTGAATAATGCAACCTTAATTGGTTTAATCCTGTTGTTCTGAGCTTATAATCGTGATTAGCTGGGAAATAACAAGATAATTGAGCCTTGCATGTAGTTAATTAATGGGTTTAAACCAGAAAAATAAAATGAGATAGAAATCTGCTACATGCATGATCATCCGTGGCTTGTTGGAAGATTTCTGGAAATCTTGGATGATTTTCGTTGTTAATCGAATTTAATTCTTGAGCTAGAAATGTTAACAAATTAGTTAAGTGATGGCATGTTGAATTTGAGACCTTAATACTCTGTTTTAGCCAAGGAAAAAGTTGTAATAAGAACATACAATTGCTGGAAAATTCTTATGAACTACCGTGAGGTTGAACCTGGAAATTTTGAGATTTATGACCATTGTTTGAATTTAATTCCGAACTAGAAGTGTTAATTGGTTAAGATAAGTTGATGCATGACAAATTTGAGAACCTAAAACCATGTTTTAGCTAAGGAAAAGTTGGATTTATAAACACCTAAGTGCTGGAAAAATTCTGGATAGCCGAGAGGTGTGATCAGAAATTTTCAATTTGTTTTCTTTTGGAATTTTAACCTATTTCTGGATTTTCCTTGGAAAATGATGGTTTAGAAATACAGAGGAGTTGTAAGTTTTAAGTGGTGTAAGTTGTTTAGCAATGAAATATTTGATAAATTGAAGCTAGAACCAGAAAAAGGTTGGGTTACATGCTGGAAATTTCTTATGTGATAGTCAAAGGTTGAATTGGAATCTTAGATTGATTTTAAATTGTTACTTGAATCATGATTGATGGAAATACCTAGAAATTATTGTTGCGAAGTCCTATAAGAAGTGTATGGATGGTCTGAATAAAAACATTTTTGAGTTAAAAGAGAAAAAGGAGTTTTCACAAGTGAAAAATTGAAATTTCAGATTTTCGGATGTCCCTGACCAGTCTCAGTAAAATGCTTATATCTTGGTATAGAAAAATCCGTTTAAGGCGCCGTCAGTGGCATTTGAAACTAGAATCATAGGCCTTTGTCCTGTAGAAATTTCGCACTTTTCCTCCATGTGTACTGCTGTCTGTAAATCCTTGAAGTAGACTGTTTTGGTAGGAATGTCCTGTTTCTTTGTGAAATTAAAATTTGGTTTTGGATTGAGATTTTAGCTTACTTGTGGTTTAAATTCTTGATTAAATTGTGGTTGGAAGTAATTGATTTTGTCAAGGGCTAATGATTGATGAAGCCCTTGGCCATTTGAATGATTTTATAAGTACTACAGGGTGATGAAAGTTAATTGCTGGAATGTCTTGGAGGCTTTACTTTTATTTTTATTTGCTTATGATGGGCTTGCTGAAACCAAGTGCTAATGATTGATGAAGCCTTGGTTGATCATTTTATTTTATTCAGAAACGCACTTGTTGAAATATAGGGCTAATGATTGACGAAGCCCTAGTAATTTGATATGTGATTTTTGCCATATTTTGATCCATATTATGATTTCGAAACGGAGTCGGAGCTGTGGAAGTTGTATCGACCTTGCGAACTCGAGTAACTGTGATCAAATTAATCAGAAATATTTTTCCAGCTAGTATTATATTATAAAACTCCATATCTAGTGCTTTGCCTAAAACTTTCCAACTCGATAATTTCCTTTAGCTTAAACTAGCCTCGATAGCTATAGTAAATAAGTTCTATAGCTTTTGAAAACTCTAAGTCTTATTTTAATTCCTTTTCTTTCCTTAAGCTTTGCACTTGGATAGTTAACTATAGGAAAAGTTTCAAAATACGAGTTTTACTAATTTTAGTGAAAAACTTGGGAAACTTGCTCGGCAAGAAACCCTATTTTAGGAAAAATAGTTTTTAAGGATAATTTCTGCAAAAGCCGTAACTTTAGAGGAATGTTCAAAGTAACTTTCTAACATTGATATTAAGAGTTTTGTCGACTTATTTCAAGAAAATAATACTAGTTACCTTTTATAAGGAAAAGTATCTTAAAGAAAACTATAAAAACATTTCTTCCACTTTTGCCAAGTTTCAACCTAAGTAGATCTTTGAATTTACTCCGAAACGATAAACTAGTTATATACTCGATAAACCTTTATAGTTATAAACCTGGAACTTGAATAGAAATTGAAAGTATTATATTTGTACTTTAAAGGTCAAACTGGATTTTAATAATTTTAAATAAAAGGCGCAGAAAACTTGTTGGCAAGAAATCTTATTCAAAGCAAATTGGTTCTGGTCTGCACCTCTAGAAAGAAAGAAATCCTATGAAGTATTTCATCACTTTCACTAGTTTAACTCTAGGGAAATTGTTAATTTATTTGGAGTAGATAAACTAGTTATATACCAGATAACTTTGTATTTATAAACCAAGAACCGTACAACAACATTTATAGTTTTAAATTCTGGATTTCTAGGGTATAGCGAGGACGTGGAATTTTGAATCCCAGCTTGAACTCTGAACTTCACTTTTGGTGAGTGTCCCTGCCTGTTCTATGCCTACCCGTTTAAAGTGTTTTCTTGACTTGTTATGTGATAGGTTGAAAAATTGGTTTCTGATCCATCGAAGTGAGCTGTGTGTACTTTATCACACTAGCCGTTCGAGTGGTGACTTGTGCAAAATATTTTCTCCTAAATCCGTGAATCTAAATGTAGTTACGTCGTTGGGTGAATCCCTCGACGCACGAATCTAACTACCATAAATCAATATGTAGTTACGTCGGTGGGTGAATTCCTCGACGCATGTATCTAACTACAATAAGTCATTGGGTGAATCCTTCGACGCACGTATCTGATTGCAATCACGTTGTTTGGTGAATTACTTGACGCATGTATCTGATTGCAATCACGTCATTGGGTGAATTCCCCGACTAATTTTATACGGGTATATCTCGAGTATACTGCGTCGGTAGACGAAGTTCGGGCCCGAAGCAGAGGTATGAACGGTGACGGGTTAGGATTAAAATAAGTGGATCTACATGGACTATAAGTAGTGAAAGTTGACGGAGGGTCAACTACAAGGGTATCTGATCAAGCGAGGAGAATGGCTCCCGAGAGCCCCTGTATCCTACCTTGTGCTGTTACACGCTTTCCTAACTGTTCAATTTGTTTAAATTGTTATCCGTTGTTTGGTTTATGTGATTGCATGTTTTGGGGCACCACTGAGCTTTAGCTCACCCCACGTTTATTGTTTTCCTTAACAGGTTCTGGAAACTGAAAGCTGGATGCTTATTTATGTTTTCTTTTTGGGATTGTATTTGAACACTAATACTTATTCTGTGGGCTGTAATGTGTTATTGGGATAAGGTATTTTCCTTTTTGGATTGCCACTTGAAGTTGGAAAATGTGTAAACCCTAATTCGATTATTTGGCTTGTAAGCTTGTATTATGGATTATGTATTTATCTATCTGGTTGGGTACGACTTATACTTCGGTACGTAGCTCGTAGGTTGTTTAAGGGCCTCGACTGGTTATTTTATCATTGCTATCTCTGAAGTTAATGTGGCTTTAGGTATGATGTTATTCGGGAAAAATTTATTTTGTAATAGATTAGTATTTCTTCGAAAGGTTTTGGGGTTAAATTGCTCGCGTGAGTCCTGGCGAGAGCTGGGCAGACGGCCCGCCAACCCTTTGGTTCGCCTCAGGGGGAAGTGGGGTCGCCACAGGTGGTATCAGAGCTCTTATCGAGCTCAAACCGGGGAAAAGGTTCTCGGACTGTGGGGATTGGCTTGTTAAGTGTGGAACAAAAGTCTATAGTTGGGGATATTAGATATGTATGTTGGGTAGGAATCTCAAATGTAGGTGATTCATGTCTGGGACTGGCCTGCCTGAGTTGTGAATTATCTTATTTTCGGATTCTTGTACCCGAGTACTAAATATTACATTTAATGGAGTGTTTGCAAATTGGGAAGAATTTAGTATATTGCATTACGATGTTACTAGAGATTAAATCCAGAAAAGTAGAACCGAAAGTAACAAGTTTAGCTTTTGAAAGTTAAAAGGTGAAGAGCCAATAGTGAGACCTTGAAGATTAGTACCAATTCTATTTTTGAGGTGAAGTTGCCATATGAGGTGAGTTCTCGATGACATTGTGGTTCCTTAAGTTTTACTTGAGAATTATTGGGGCTAATGTTCGAAAGGATAAAGATAACTAGTTGTTAGGTTATTGGAAAAGCCAATGTATGAAATGTTTGAGATCATTTAGAATACTTAAGAGTCAATGATGAACTTAAGTAATGATCATATTATTTGACTTGGCACTAGACGTAGTAGATCTATATTTTACCAAGGAAATTTGATTAGTGTTACTAAGGGGGTCTAGTGGGATTGTCCAGGACTAAACTAATGAAGGTTAAGTTGAATCTAAACTAAGGGTTAGGCTATTAGCTATATGGTTATAATAATTTGTATATTGTTGTATTGTTTCCTTTCATGCTTATAAAGATTGAAGTTGAGTTATGTATGAAAATGTTGAATGTATACATGAATTATCTAGTTTTCAAAGTTGTATGAATTTGGTATGCAATGTGACTTATATTGTGAGTATATAATTTGATGGTTACGTGTTTAATTTTTGTAAACGCTGTAATAATTATTAGTCCCGGAAATTAAATAATTACTAACCTGAGTGAAATTTTGGTAACCAAAGTGGTGTATAGAACTATGAGATTAAGAAAAAAAAAATAATAATAATAAAAATAAAATTTTTTTTTATTAGTTACGTTTATTAGATTTAAGAGTTGACAATGGCTCTTTTCACCGTGTAAAAATTTCCAAATTTTCTTAAATTCTATGAGCATCAGAAATTTTCCTAAGATAAATGAAATGCCAAATCCATTCTTGTTGTTCCTATTTGTTAAAGCTGTAATTTCAGGTCAAGGTCCATTTATTTACAAATTTCATCTTGAAAGAATGCCTTTTGGGACAAATGTAGAATTTTGAGTGGTATAGGACTGGTGTTTTTGGATTTATGGAACTTAAAAATACAAACAAGTTTAGTTTGAAATAAAAATGTCCTTTTAAACTTTATGGCCTTAAATTTGAAAATATCGATCCGATGTGAACTTGAAAAGAGACGCGAGGAAAAGTTAAGATTAACTCGTCAAAGGATATTAAGGGTTTGAAACCGTTAGAAGAGTTGTGCTGATAAAAGAAGGAAAGATTGATAGATAGTCTTGTACAATCCAAAGGGGATCCTAGCACTTGATCTAAGTTGAAACTGAACAAGGAGATGAGATCTACTGGTATTATGATGAATTGACCTGGTTGAGTAACTAGTGAAGTCCTTCCTTGTGAACGTAATGATTATTTTACATATATCTTGTGATTGGCCCTATAGGCATGTTTTAAACTTTTACGAATATTTGGACTTCTCTTATAAATAAGAATGAATATTGGTCGTGAAATGGGAGAGTAAATAGTTAAGTTTTATGTGGCATAAAAGCTAATTCTCAGATTAGGTGTGAAGAGTAGAGGCTTTGGACCAAAGTTTAAGTATATACAAACTTGCATGTCTGTTTACTTTCTTAAAAGCATTTTATTCTCAAAAGTGATTTGTGGGGTTAAATGGTTTTTTTTTTTGATCAAACGTCCAAATAACAAACGTTAAACTTCTTATCAAAAGTCAAATGCATTTAGAAATTTTGACTATCAAGATCAGAACCAATTTCTTTTCTTCTTGTCTTCCATTCGAATAGCCATTTTTATTTATAAGTACATAGACCACAATTTTTCCAAATGTGTATTTGATATTCTGTTATTAGTCACGAAAGGTACGTAAAATTTTGAAAGTTGAGCCTTTAATGATGTATAATTGTTTCAAGAGCTAATGGTAGACAGACTTCGACAAAGCTGCTATAAATGGGAATTTAGAAGGAACCCACCCACGTAGCTACCCCTATTGACCATATGACTGATAGTGGAGTACCAAAGCTTTAGGCCAATCAACTAACCTAGGAACCAAAAAGAGTTGCGAAAATGGAGTGACTCTTGAAATTCATCTACCTAGGTTCATTGGGGAATCTGACCTCAAAATAATAAGAATGAATCGAAGGAATACAACAAGGCCTAGCAAGAATCAGAAGTATGACTGTTGTTTTAAACAATGTTGAAGGTAAGTATTGAATAGTGCACTAAGACATGAAATTTTTTCTTTGGGATAAGGCTTCCTTATTCTGTCGTGGTAGTGATTAACGATGGTAATCTCGGTAACATTTAAAGAACTCGCTAGATTAAGTAGAAAGTAGTAAGGTTTATATTTTGGAGTAACCATTAGTGAAAGGATGAAAGAGCATTACGGCTCAAGCTTCCAGTATGAATAGTTGCTTATTTTGATCCTATGATTTGTCCGGCAGGCTAGCTATTTGACTTAAGCCAACTAGTAAGATGACAACTTTGGAAGACATGCGTAAGGAAATGGACATCCTCCGAAATGAAGTAGAATTTCAAAGGAAATTGGCTGACTACTGGGAGGGACGATGGAAACAAGAATATGCAGAGAAAATTGAGCTACTACGCCAAAATGTAGAACTGGAGAAGGAAAATAAAGAAAACTCTCGAAATAGCCAGGCCACCACTTCTCATGCAAATTGTGGGTATTGTAGAAAAACTGGCCATACTAAGGACGGATATTGGAGGAAACAGGGAAAGTGCTTGAGGTGCGGTAGTACCAAGCACAAGATTTCGGAATGCCCTAGAGCATTTAAAAAGAGGAAGTACTCAGCAGACAACTAGGTCCGCTGCAGAGTGACCAGGAGCTAGATGGAAGTAATTCGTGCCAATGGTCATGAACGAGGTCCTAGTAGTGAATGTTTCACAAATCAAGAGGGTTTGACCTCACCCGAGGAATAAAAGTTATAGTTACCCTAAACTAGAATAGCACTTTTAGAGGTTGTGATCTTTCGCTATGAATTATATGTACGCTACGAATTGTATGTACACTATAAATATCCTTTATTTTAGTTACTTTGCTATTAGAAATATTATAACAAATAAATGGTTAAATTAGTGCCCAATTGAACTTATAAAAAAAATTTTAAATTTTAAATTCTAGAAATATTCTAGAATAGTGCAATATATATATATGAATCGAATATACACGATAGGTATATTGTAATTTGAGCTATTGGAATACATTATATAGTTGAATAAATTACATGACTAATTAATTCTCCTTAAGGCCAAACGAGTGGAAACCTACTAAATTGATATAAGCGAAATTTTTCGAGGTACACATAAATTAGAACCAACGAAATTTTTGGTCAACGCGTGAGACAATAAAAATATGACCTTGTAGCAAATAAATGATCTAAAACTAAACGACCGCACTAATCTTGGGAACTAGAAGAAGAGATGCAAAAAGTAAACCGACCTATCTCTTGAGAAAGTAAAAATTTTGAGGACAAAATTCATTTTAAGGAGAGGAGGATGTGAGAACCCTGAAAATAGACATATAATTATCAGGGCATATTTTATTTTATTTGCATTTTAATTCTTTAATAAATTTTAGCACTAAGTCCAATTGTTTTTAAATAAGTACGTAGAAATAAAACGTTATGTGCAAAATAAAAGAATTGTGCTAGACTACTAAATTTCTTAGTTTTGTTACATTAACTTCATATTTCGATGGTAAACTATTTCATTGATCTAACAATTAATTTCCTTGAATTCTAGTATTGTAATTAATTGTTTCGAAATGAAAGCGTAAAGATAAGTTCTATGTAATAAATAATATAATTGTGCCAATATTGAATTACTCGGTTTTGCTATACTAAATTAATATTTCTTGAGTTAGATTAATTCTATTACTTTAAAATAAATTCTTTGATTTCCGATAACTAGTTTTAATCGTTAATAATGTTAAATGTTAATAGGAATTTCCGCGTTAAGATGAAAACCAATGAATTTTAGATAAATATGATTCTAATATACTAAACATACTTAATGCGTGAAAATTTGATACATACATCCTTATCTTTCTTTGTTTTCGCAATAAGTGCGTAAAAATACTTTTATGTGCAAATTGACACCCTTGGATTAAATTATTATTTCACTTGACTTTACATTACTAAATCGATAAATTTCGAGTTAGACTAACTCTAATTCTTGAGAAATAATAATTGGAAAATTCTAATAACTAATTTAATCGCTAAATAATATAAGAATTATTAGGAACCTTAATACTCAAGTTTAATCGATAATTATTCGATAAAAATGGTTTAGGTATATTAGGGTATAATTAGGCGTTTAAATCACGCTTGGGGATAATTTTTGGAATTAAGTTAGGAGTGAGAAATTAAGTTGAGGTGAGGGAGCAAAGTGAAAAGACTAAAATGCCCTTACATTTCCATGCAAACCAAACAAACCCTCTGATAGCAAATTCAATCACCGCAACTACCGGCCAATCACATTTTTTTTGCTAAATCGATACGCAATCGATTCCTACACGCAATCTCTGATCCAAAACAGCGGCACCCTATACCATACTCTCCAATTCATAACACAAACCGCAAACCATTTCCTTTCCATTTCATATCACAAAACCGCGATACCATCCCACTCCATCTTCATTCCTATATCACAAAACACCTTCGCACTCCACCCTCTTGCACACCCAACCCCCTTAACCGCGCCTATTGCTTCACTTCAACCTCACACAACCAGTTCCATTTCCTCACACCGTGAGCATTGACCAAGAGTTAGAGAGGGAGGGCTTCACCTCGTGATCATCGACGAGAGAGAGAGAGAGTGAACTGCACCTTGCAGCCAAGAGGAAAGAAAGAAAAATCGCGAGCTGAATCTTCTCTGGTCTGTCCGTGAGCTTGAGGGAAGAAAGGAGAGAGCAAGTGGAAGTCGTGGGAGCTACTGATCGTCACCACCTTCATCAGTCCCAGCTGCAACTATTGCAACCAGAACCAGCACTTCAAGCCTTGCGCGCGTGCCGAGTGGAAGAAAAAAATTCAGCTCTGTCGTGTGAGTGAGTTGCACTGTGAGGTAAATTCTGGACCATTTTAGGTTGATCAAGAGGTAGATTGAGCCATCGAGGGGCATGCATGTATTGTTTGTGCAATCGGATGATGAAATCAAAACACTAGAAAAATCTGTTTTGAAAAGAAAATGGGTTGCCGAGACTGATTAAGAATGCCGTGCTTAATTTGTGTAATTTCGACAATCTGAGCTTGAAATTGTGTTTAGTTAATTAAAACTCGGATGGTTAAGCTGATTAGGGCCTTGCATGATAATTTTATGAAGTTGGATGATGAATTAAGGAGCTTAGGAAAATTCTGTTTTGATGAAAAATTTCTGCCGAGAGCTAAGCTGGAAATTTGTAGCTTTAATCTGCTAATTCGATGCAATTTGAGTTTAGATATACGTTTAGCTAATTATAAATGGGATGATTATACCTTGCATGATGTTAATTAGTGGTGATCAAACAAGAAAATTAGAGAGATACAAAATCTGTTGCATGCAAGCTCATCCGAGAATAGTTGTAGGAATTTCTGGAATTGGGGATAGTTATAGCTGCTGACCGAACTTGTTCTGAACTGGATATGATAAGTAACTTCATTAGGTAGCCTCGCATGTCAATTTTGGGGGCCTAATATAATGATCCAGCCAGGGAAAAGTTTACATTTTATGACCATTAGCTGCTGGCATTTTTTTTTGTGATAGCCGAGAGCTTGACTTGAATAATGCAACCTTAATTGGTTTAATCCTGTTGTTCTGAGCTTATAATCGTGATTAGCTGGGAAATAACAAGATAATTGAGCCTTGCATGTAGTTAATTAATGGGTTTAAACCAGAAAAATAAAATGAGATAGAAATCTGCTACATGCATGATCATCCGTGGCTTGTTGGAAGATTTCTGGAAATCTTGGATGATTTTCGTTGTTAATCGAATTTAATTCTTGAGCTAGAAATGTTAACAAATTAGTTAAGTGATGGCATGTTGAATTTGAGACCTTAATACTCTGTTTTAGCCAAGGAAAAAGTTGTAATAAGAACATACAATTGCTGGAAAATTCTTATGAACTACCGTGAGGTTGAACCTGGAAATTTTGAGATTTATGACCATTGTTTGAATTTAATTCCGAACTAGAAGTGTTAATTGGTTAAGATAAGTTGATGCATGACAAATTTGAGAACCTAAAACCATGTTTTAGCTAAGGAAAAGTTGGATTTATAAACACCTAAGTGCTGGAAAAATTCTGGATAGCCGAGAGGTGTGATCAGAAATTTTCAATTTGTTTTCTTTTGGAATTTTAACCTATTTCTGGATTTTCCTTGGAAAATGATGGTTTAGAAATACAGAGGAGTTGTAAGTTTTAAGTGGTGTAAGTTGTTTAGCAATGAAATATTTGATAAATTGAAGCTAGAACCAGAAAAAGGTTGGGTTACATGCTGGAAATTTCTTATGTGATAGTCAAAGGTTGAATTGGAATCTTAGATTGATTTTAAATTGTTACTTGAATCATGATTGATGGAAATACCTAGAAATTATTGTTGCGAAGTCCTATAAGAAGTGTATGGATGGTCTGAATAAAAACATTTTTGAGTTAAAAGAGAAAAAGGAGTTTTCACAAGTGAAAAATTGAAATTTCAGATTTTCGGATGTCCCTGACCAGTCTCAGTAAAATGCTTATATCTTGGTATAGAAAAATCCGTTTAAGGCGCCGTCAGTGGCATTTGAAACTAGAATCATAGGCCTTTGTCCTGTAGAAATTTCGCACTTTTCCTCCATGTGTACTGCTGTCTGTAAATCCTTGAAGTAGACTGTTTTGGTAGGAATGTCCTGTTTCTTTGTGAAATTAAAATTTGGTTTTGGATTGAGATTTTAGCTTACTTGTGGTTTAAATTCTTGATTAAATTGTGGTTGGAAGTAATTGATTTTGTCAAGGGCTAATGATTGATGAAGCCCTTGGCCATTTGAATGATTTTATAAGTACTACAGGGTGATGAAAGTTAATTGCTGGAATGTCTTGGAGGCTTTACTTTTATTTTTATTTGCTTATGATGGGCTTGCTGAAACCAAGTGCTAATGATTGATGAAGCCTTGGTTGATCATTTTATTTTATTCAGAAACGCACTTGTTGAAATATAGGGCTAATGATTGACGAAGCCCTAGTAATTTGATATGTGATTTTTGCCATATTTTGATCCATATTATGATTTCGAAACGGAGTCGGAGCTGTGGAAGTTGTATCGACCTTGCGAACTCGAGTAACTGTGATCAAATTAATCAGAAATATTTTTCCAGCTAGTATTATATTATAAAACTCCATATCTAGTGCTTTGCCTAAAACTTTCCAACTCGATAATTTCCTTTAGCTTAAACTAGCCTCGATAGCTATAGTAAATAAGTTCTATAGCTTTTGAAAACTCTAAGTCTTATTTTAATTCCTTTTCTTTCCTTAAGCTTTGCACTTGGATAGTTAACTATAGGAAAAGTTTCAAAATACGAGTTTTACTAATTTTAGTGAAAAACTTGGGAAACTTGCTCGGCAAGAAACCCTATTTTAGGAAAAATAGTTTTTAAGGATAATTTCTGCAAAAGCCGTAACTTTAGAGGAATGTTCAAAGTAACTTTCTAACATTGATATTAAGAGTTTTGTCGACTTATTTCAAGAAAATAATACTAGTTACCTTTTATAAGGAAAAGTATCTTAAAGAAAACTATAAAAACATTTCTTCCACTTTTGCCAAGTTTCAACCTAAGTAGATCTTTGAATTTACTCCGAAACGATAAACTAGTTATATACTCGATAAACCTTTATAGTTATAAACCTGGAACTTGAATAGAAATTGAAAGTATTATATTTGTACTTTAAAGGTCAAACTGGATTTTAATAATTTTAAATAAAAGGCGCAGAAAACTTGTTGGCAAGAAATCTTATTCAAAGCAAATTGGTTCTGGTCTGCACCTCTAGAAAGAAAGAAATCCTATGAAGTATTTCATCACTTTCACTAGTTTAACTCTAGGGAAATTGTTAATTTATTTGGAGTAGATAAACTAGTTATATACCAGATAACTTTGTATTTATAAACCAAGAACCGTACAACAACATTTATAGTTTTAAATTCTGGATTTCTAGGGTATAGCGAGGACGTGGAATTTTGAATCCCAGCTTGAACTCTGAACTTCACTTTTGGTGAGTGTCCCTGCCTGTTCTATGCCTACCCGTTTAAAGTGTTTTCTTGACTTGTTATGTGATAGGTTGAAAAATTGGTTTCTGATCCATCGAAGTGAGCTGTGTGTACTTTATCACACTAGCCGTTCGAGTGGTGACTTGTGCAAAATATTTTCTCCTAAATCCGTGAATCTAAATGTAGTTACGTCGTTGGGTGAATCCCTCGACGCATGAATCTAACTACCATAAATCAATATGTAGTTACGTCGGTGGGTGAATTCCTCGACGCATGTATCTAACTACAATAAGTCATTGGGTGAATCCTTCGACGCACGTATCTGATTGCAATCACGTTGTTTGGTGAATTTCTCGACGCATGTATCTGATTGCAATCACGTCATTGGGTGAATTCCCCGACTAATTTTATACGGGTATATCTCGAGTATACTGCGTCGGTAGACGAAGTTCGGGCCCGAAGCAGAGGTATGAACGGTGACGGGTTAGGATTAAAATAAGTGGATCTACATGGACTATAAGTAGTGAAAGTTGACGGAGGGTCAACTACAAGGGTATCTGATCAAGCGAGGAGAATGGCTCCCGAGAGCCCCTGTATCCTACCTTGTGCTGTTACACGCTTTCCTAACTGTTCAATTTGTTTAAATTGTTATCCGTTGTTTGGTTTATGTGATTGCATGTTTTGGGGCACCACTGAGCTTTAGCTCACCCCACGTTTATTGTTTTCCTTAACAGGTTCTGGAAACTGAAAGATGGATGCTTATTTATGTTTTCTTTTTGGGATTGTATTTGAACACTAATACTTATTCTGTGGGCTGTAATGTGTTATTGGGATAAGGTATTTTCCTTTTTGGATTGCCACTTGAAGTTGGAAAATGTGTAAACCCTAATTCGATTATTTGGCTTGTAAGCTTGTATTATGGATTATGTATTTATCTATCTGGTTGGGTACGACTTATACTTCGGTACGTAGCTCGTAGGTTGTTTAAGGGCCTCGACTGGTTATTTTATCATTGCTATCTCTGAAGTTAATGTGGCTTTAGGTATGATGTTATTCGGGAAAAATTTATTTTGTAATAGATTAGTATTTCTTCGAAAGGTTTTGGGGTTAAATTGCTCGCGTGAGTCCTGGCGAGAGTTGGGTAGACGGCCCGCCAACCCTTTGGTTCGCCTCAGGGGGAAGTGGGGTCGCCACAAGTATGGCTGGCGATACTGTCAGAGCAATAATATTCTTGCCAGAACAATATTTATCCAGATACCAACATTACCCTCAACTATTCAACACCATATATTCTCATTGATTCTCTTGGACTCATTATCCACCAATTATTTCTTTTTATCTCTTTCTAGTTAATTGAAAAGCTTGCCTACTTCTTCCATCTCTTTAATTTATTTATCTATTATTTTCATAACTCGTTGATTTGGTTTTGAGTTTTTACCTATTTTTTCTTAGATTGTAATTCTTTTACTTTAGAGCACTCTTATTTTTAATTTTCAAAGTCGTATTTAAAAGAAGTTTTTTTTTTTTGCAAATACAATATGATTTAACTCAAACAACTAACAATCTAAAATGAAAATAGTCCAAAAAAATGTACACGCACTTTTCCTTCTATATGCATGGGGTATAGAACATAACACAATTAAAAATAAATTTAATCTAGTTATTAGAAAATATGGACACATGTTGAAATCAAGATTCATATAATAATTAGAAAAGCGGAAAAGGTAGTGAAGTTTATAAGGAGATCAATTGCACACTAATACATTAAACAAGCAAAATTCAAAGAAATAAAGCATGTTGCATATATCATAGGATTGAGTTTGAATGACATTATAAAAGCAATCACACAGTTTTTCCATGATCTTTAATAAAAAAAATATGAATTAAAAAAACATAGTAAACCCTCAAGGTTCTAATTTTATAATATGAAAAAAATGACTTTAGTATGGATGATTAGATGTGGCCTAATGATCTCCCTCTTCTCTTGCTAACGAATATGAGCTTGTCCACTAAAGCAACCATTGCACCGTAAAGATTTAAAGTTCAATTAAAATTGATGAAGCCGTTCAAGAGTAGGTATACCACTCATGATAAGAAGCACCTGGAACATGGAGGAGTTATAAAAAAATTGATGAAATTTGTAATAATGTGCTGATAGTGATGGAAAACATAATGGAATAAAAGAAAAAAATTGTAAGCAAAGATTATTTAATAGAAAACATAATGGAATAAAAGCAAAAAAGGAAGAAAAAAAGAAACACTTACTAATAGTGATGGAAAAATAGCAAGAGCAAAGCGGAGAATAGTATTATGCAAAAAATCTTGAACCATATACTACAAAAAGTCTCAACAAAATGAAAACAAATTGTAAAATAGGAAATAGGGAGAGAGATTGGAAGGCAAGAAATGGAGGGGAAATGAGAGAAGTAGACAAAAGCTCGTTCTGTCAATGAGAAAGAGAAAGAAAATGAGTAATTCGTGGATAATGAGTTCAAAAACAACAATTAGAATATATGGCATTAACTAATTGAGAGTAATGTCTGTGTTTGGATAAATATTACTCTGACAAGATGATTATGGCTAGCCAATTAGTGCTCATCAATTCTAGTGCCTTATAAGTATTAATCACAGGTATAAAATTAATGTTTCAAAAAAATATAGCAAGGCTAAAATTGGTGCAGTACAGTTCTAGTTTGAAAACCAGCATTTACTTCATTATTCCATTCAAATGGATCCTTATCTAACAAGTCAGTTAATATTCAAATGGTTAATTTTATACGCTAGAAGTACGCTAAGAGGTCATGCTTTGCAATGTAGAAATAATCAGAAGCCATTTGGTTGTCAGTCATTATATGTAGAAAATAATCCAATTGACTAGAAAAGAAGGTTCATTTGGAGAGTTTGGCTGGTAAAGGGAGTGCAGTCTCAAGGTTCTCAAAACACTTTGGAGGTCAGATGGGTGAGCTTTTACTCAAGGACTTAAACTAGGATGATCTTGAAAAAACGAGACATAATCAAGGATTGTGCAACAAAAAGATTCATGGTGCTTCTAAGGCCAATAGTTCATTAATCATTACTTCAATGAAAATGGTAGAATTTGAATTCCTACAAACCTATTTGTGTTACAAAATACAAAATTTGTCTTTGATTAATCAACCATACACTTCTTGTAATACAAAATTTGTCTTTGATTGTCATGTCGTTTAATTTAGGCTAAAGAACGCAACCACTCTTTTTGAAAGATAGAATTTAGATGCATATTTTGCTGAATTCACATGGAAATTAACCAGTGAAGTGCAAATATGCAAAGCAGAGAATTTGTAGTGGTGTAATTGATTCCTTAATTATCTTCTGTTTGAGTGGATAAGATTTGTACGCGTGCATTTGTGGCCTTCCTGATTAGGACAACTAGCCTTCTAAAAGGATCTCTTGAAAATCAAGTCTCCAGATGGATTTTCTAGCTTGAACCTAGTCAGAATTACGTAGCAAATGAAAAGATAAGAATAAACCTATTACTCTTGTGACGGGCTTTTAATATACATACAAGTTAAAAATCTGAAATACACCTGTTTCACTGCAAGTATACAGGTCAACTAGTAGTTTAGGGTATATATCGGGTCGATCCCACGAGAAAGATTGAACAATTACCGGCACTACTAAAGCTTCTTTATTATTTAGACTATCAATGAAATATAAGAAATGAAACCTACTGAACTTATGCAAAATAACAAATGAAAGCTCCTTAGGTTATGATATCCCTAACTACTCATGCAAATGCTATTTTTGGATCATTGATTACCACTATCTTGGTTAATTATGATGTAATTTCCTTATGCATATGAATCCTACTTTCGTAGTGAATCAACTATACTTATAACTAATTCATACCTATTCTCATAGTTATGAGATTAGCTACAAGTTCATTTCTTCAATGAAATTACATGAAATTAATCACTAAAACCACATAGGTGCACCTCTACTCTCATGAGTGTACTCCCTATGTTTAGCACTTCTTGAACCAGTGTTAAATCTCAATTTTCATTGCAGAAACAACACCTTAGATAATCACAATTAATGGTACCAGATTAATTATGATTTAGAGATCTAAAGTGCTAAATAACTTGTTCACATCATAGCAATCAAATAGCCAAATAATAAATACTAACAATCATAGAAAGATCAATCAAACCCAAGGCATAAACTTTAGAAACACATAATAAACATAAAATCCAAAACTTGTATATTAACCATACTTAAGAATTCAATGCAAAAGATAAAAAGTTTGAGAATAGATAACCCTTGTCACATGAGCTTCAACTTCAACTTCTCCTTCTTCATCTCCATCTTCATTCTAATCTAGTCAATATACAAGAGTGGATGAGCTATACTACTCTATACTAAACTAATCTAACACACAGAAAATGGAAGAGCTACATGTCTGCAGACCCAAGCTTTCTCCCGTATGTCTCTCCAAGCTCTCCAAGTGCTTTTTGCAAAAATTGCTGGCTAGAGAGAATATCACCAGCCTCAGTTTTTATGCTAAATTCTGATGTCCCTTCCCTCTCCTACCGTATTTTTCTTCTCCCCCCTTGATTCTCCAAATCTAAGGTGTTAACAAAGTCAACAAAACAATGTTCAGCCTCTTGATTCTACCGTATCTTTTTGACTTGACAATAAACTATTTTTCTTCCTTTGTGCATTAGGAACATGTGCAGCCTAAGTTTTCTCTCCAACTACAGCTAGAAAGTAGTATGAAAATGAGAAAAATGGCTGAGCAATTTGCAAAAATTCGGCTGCCATACGCGTATTCACTTTTGACCTCATTTCAACTACAATTTTCTCTATGATAGCCACCAAATTGGCTGTTGTGTAAAATATGAAAGTTGTAGCTCTTTAACTTAGCATTCCAATGCTTCAAAAATCATCTAATTTGGAGCTCGGTGGATGGAGATATGATGAAAATACTATAGACTGGTCAATTCTGTGTTTCAGCTCTCGAATAAGCTTCTATGTTTCGACTTTTTGACCAGGAAAACGGCTGAATTGGACTTTGATGTCTTCATACCAAATGTAGATCTATCTCTTACTTCAACATGGTTCAAGAGTCATCTTCATCCAATATGTATAGCTCAAGATATAGCCGAAATACAGAAACATATCAAAATAGTCTTGTCTTGCAATTCTTCATTTGATTATTTTGCATTTCATTTCTTCTTTAAACACCTCAAATCATCACCAATCATCAAATTTTCTTCTCAATTCACACTCTTTGATGAGTAAATCATTAATCTTGCAAAATCATGAAATATTTGCCGTAAAAGTTTATAGAAATGCAATTTTCACACTTTAAACCATAAAATACATATTTTCATTTGAATCTTAGTTTATTAGCTATAAAACTAATTAAAACACACCAAAACTAACTAATAAAACACACTTAAAACACATAAAATATATTCTTGTCATCTTGTACCCTCTAGAGCTCAACCACTTGTATTCCAACTCTCATATCCTTAACTCCCAGGTTTATCAGCAAAATTATGGTTTTTAATGCAACTAGAAAGTGATGCGAACTGCTTGGACAAACAATCCTGCAGTTTTTAGTATGTTTAAGATGGACAATTACCAGATTTATGTTTCTAGTGGACTAGGTTTAGCAGTTGTATGCTTCTGCCAAATTAACACGCGTGAGATTGATAGATTCGCCATTCTTTTTTTCTATGGACAAATAATATCGTTATATTCGTGAACAAAAAGTTGAAAAAGAGAGATCAAAAGGGATGCCCACTAATTGAAAAGGTTGAAGAAACATGACCTCTCAAGTTTTGTTAGCTATCTGTCTTTCATCTGAACCTATATCATGACTAGGTTCGTCCATTCTCCAAAAAACAGCATGTGGCTTGTGAAAAGTAATTACATGCAGAAACTGCATGTGTGGAGACAGGAGAGCCCTATAAAGAGAGTGACCTAACAAGGGGCAAAAGCATAGATTAGTTAATAGAGCATTAGATGCTCTCTAGAGTTCCCTCGAAACACTTCAACGGGGACAATAATTTTCTGCCTCAGTTAGGCCAAAGAATTCAGCCTAGTGAAGTGTTTGGGGGAACTCCTGAGTTCATTTGACA